CTTTTATGCCAAAAATCATTAGGAAATTAAGTAAAGATCATGTTCCATGAAGATATTTTGTAAATGTCCTACCGTAAATATATCAAAACGTAATTTTTGATTGGTAATATGCATTGCTAAGAACTTAATTTGGACAACTTTAAAGGCGATTTTCTCAGTATTTTGATTTTTTTTCTACCCTCAGATTCCAGATTTTCATAGTTGTATCTTGGCCAAATATTGTCCTATCCTAACAAATCATACATCAATGGAAAGCTTATTTATTCAAAAAATTTACCCTTATGACTGGTTTTGTGGTCCAGGTTCACATATATGTGTGTGTACTGCGTATATGTATTATGTATATATAAATACACACACTTGCATGTATATATTTAAGACAAATATGTGACATTTATATATTAAATTTATATGTGATATAATTTATATAAATATAAATATATACATGTAAATACATGTAAATATTTTCAAAATATATGCTGTATGTGTGTGTCTTTATATATACATAATAAATATACACAGTACACACACATATATTATGTAAACAAAAACTTTTATTTTGGATGCGATTAATCGTGATTAATCGTTTGACAGCACTACTTCTGAGCTTTGCCTTGTTTCCTGTGTTTCTGTCTGCATGTTCTGGATGTAGATTTGCATGTACTCTGCTATCATCACATGAGCTTCTCTAACAGAGCCTTCTATATTAAAAAGACACACAGGTTTGGAACGACATGGCTAAATGATGACATTTACATTTTTGGATAAACTGTCCTTTTAAGGTTCATCTCAGTTGGTCCAAATTTGTTAATGCTTAATACAGTTGTAAATGTTTTGTGATCCAATCTCTCAAACCACATTCAGAGGTAGTCAGAAACGCACGTGACCACATGGCCTACAAATTGACATCATGATTGAACGGCACTATAGTTTACATTTTACACAGTAATGTGTCAACCAGCAATAAATGATGCACTGAAACACACCATCACTCAAGGTGCTTGCTTTCAGTATGCGTTCTACTTTAGAGCCAGACAGAGTGCAGGTTAGTCAGGGCCTCTGGAGACCCCGTGGAATGCCGCTCTGTCTGTTCACTGTGCTAAAGCTGCAGAGTTTAAGAGGTTCTCAGAGGATGATAGATGCAGTTGTTATCTCTGCAAGTTATTCTTCCAACAAACATAAAGAGTTTTTGTGTGAATGTTTATGTAATTATTTCAGGGTGACCTTACTATTCCCTCCAGCATGTGTTGTGATTATTTCATGCAGGGGGAAGTTGTAGTTGCAAATGCAAGCTTTGTTACATGTACACAATCAGATGCAGCCAAAGCCAAATAAATCAGGCTTTCGCTCTGACACTAATCGGCCGTGATGAATGCATGGTAAGATTATGAGTGTCAGTGAACAAAAATTTATATTCCTCCTTGTTTCCTTAACAGAAAACACTCCCGTAACATCTCTCCTCTGTCATCAGTTTAGATGATCCTACAGTGGAATGTGGTGAGCAGACTGAATTTTACCTTTGTCATCTGTTAAAGGAACAGTTCATCAAAAAAATGTACTCGCCTTCATGTTGTCCCAAACATGTATGACTTTCTTGTTTGCGTGGAGGACGGATGGTGAATTTGCAAAGAATTTCCTGGCTGCTCTTTTCTAAATAATGAAATATGGAATAGAATACTGGCAAGAAGGTTGGCAAGAAGACTTATAGAAAATATGTAATGATATTCGGAATGCACAATATCAAATTCTTGTTGATACCAATTCCTATTATGGCTAATAATTGATAAATGACTGACATGAATAAAAAAATAAAACGCTATAATCAATTGTTTTAAATGATACAAGTGAATGTAGGTATTACAGCATTATAATGTACAGTATAGGCATGGGCCGGTTTGAGATTCTGACGGTATGATAACCTTCGATAAAAAGAAAATTTCACGGTATCACGGTATTGCGATTACAGCTCTAAACAAACATTTTTTAAATGTCTGGGTAAAAAAAACAACTTTTTTTTTCCACTGAACACATTTTATTTTTAAGAAACATATAGAACATTTTGGAACAGTAAACATGTCAGGCTAAATAATTAGAATAAATAATTAAATTCTTCTTAATTAAATGCAGTCACTTAAGTGAGCCTAAACCTGCAGCTCAACAATAATCAAAAATATAATCAAAACATAACTTGTGTAAAAAATAAAATTAAAAAAATTAATAAAAAATGCATGCATAAACCTGCAGCTCAACAAGGTTTTTGGAGACATGCTCGCTTTCTACACATTCATCTTTCAGTCCATGTTATGATGCAGGAATGTTCACCTTTCCCAGATTAAGTTTGGAGCGGTGAGGTACGAGGATGTGCACATGCACACATAAGGAAAGAGAGAGCGCGAGTGTCACACACACACACACACACACGTGCGGTCTCTCCGTACAACACTCAAACAGTGGCTATTATTTATTTATTTTTTTAAATGCGTGATTTTGAACAGATGTAAACAATGGCAGGAGGCTTAAAAGTATAGACGTGATACCAGCTAAATTACATTATTGTACTAAATCGCAGAAAAGTAGGCTACAGTACGTACTTTAGACTGCTATTCCTCACTCTGTGAAGTAACGTGAGGGAGGAAACTAGTTGACGTTAGCTAGTTAATTAGCCATGTTATCTGCCTCGGTAGCAAGCCAAATAGTATTTATTTCAACACTGAAACAAACGGCGGGTGGGTCTCTGTCTTGATCGGGGGTGAAAGAGGGAGAAAACCGAAGATGACAGATATATAGTTTATGTACGACTTGGAAGTATTTATTTAGCGATCGGCGCTAAAACGTCATCTGTACGGAACATCATTGTGTACGGAACATGGTTAGTCTACGTTACCCGAAAAATTCCCATACGACAGACTTCGTCTTTTTCGACGGGGGAAAAAGTTCCAGGGATTCATCTCCTTCGGCCATCCTACACACAGGTGACACCGCTCGCACCAACCGGAGGGGGAGGGGTCATGTGACTCGTTATGCTCTTCGCTGCACACAACTGAGGAAGTCCTGTACTATCCGTCTTTGACGACCCTATGGGTCTGTATAAACTGTATATGGAACTGTATAAAAAGTTGACGACACGTAAAAAAAACTTAGTGGTTTTGAAACCGTGGCTTTTCCGAACCGCGGTATACCTTGAAACCGATTATCGTCCCATGCCTAGTACAGTATGAAAAATAGATATTCATTCTCATATTTGCTAAAGATAATGTTTAACTGTGCCATTTAATTATTAGTGATTTTAAAGATCAACTTTAGTGAGTGTGAGATTATGATAGGAGTAAACAATGTAAAAAAAAAAAGTTATTGGATTATATATCCAATATAAATACGATACAACAAATTTAAGATAAAAAAAAATCAGCAATATGAGCTGATAAACAGCTTGCAAACTTTTCATTTAAATTTAGACCATTTTTATTTAAATATTAATTGAATATAAATTAAAATACTAAAAAAAACTAAAATTAAGATGTGCAACATTAAATCAAAATCATATTAATCATACATTTTTGAGTTTGTTAGAAATACCAGAGGTACATATAAGCTTAGATAGCAGGCCCTTCAAATATTATCTCGACAAAGGGGAGCTACACTGTAAAACAAATTCCGTCAAATTTATGGTAAAAAACCGGCAGCTGGGTTTTAACTTAAATGTACAATTGAATACCGTAATTTCATTAACTGATATAATGTTAATATACCAACCTACTGAAGTACTGAAATCTGTTTTGTACCTTTGTAATATACTGATAACCAAATGCAGACAGTCTTTTACCGTTAAATTCACGGTCATTTTTACAGTGTAGTTGAGAACCGTATTATACAGGTATCATTTATTTTAAAGGATCATATGATGCTGCTAAAAAGAACATTATTTTGTGTATTTGGTGTAATGAAATGTGTTTATGCGGTTTAAAGTTGAAAAACACAGCGGCCTAGCGTGAGGGGAAGCCCCGGCTTAGCCCCGGCCGGGATAGAGTGAGCTGAGGCCGGCTGGACTCCTCTTTGTCCACGGTGAAAGTTGATGTATTCCCTCAGCGACCTGCACATATATGGAAAAGAGTGACTAAGATGTTCCTTAAAATTTAAACTAAACTTTTTTTTCCACTGAATAAATGTAAGGATTTGGGATAGTGTGAGGGTGTGTAATTTGACAGAATGTTGATTTTTGAGTGAGCAGTCCCATTAATTGAATAACTCTGCTGCTGTCACTTTGAGTGTTTATATTTCAAACACTCCTCTCAGTGTTAGGGCTGTGTTTGGCTGAAACAAGCATGCTAGTAAAATGTCAGCACATAGTTTCCTAGAGTCTTGGCTGCTTTGTATGCTGTGAATAACTTTACCTCACGGCTGGTTAAAGAGAGGCACAGATGACTGCAGCATTTGGAAGAGTTCTTGATCTCGCCAGTCTTCAGAACACCAGCCAGTACCTCACAGGCATCAGAATTTCCTAACTAATGTCCAGCCGGCAAAAAAGCACCTTTTATTCTGCTTCATCACCTCTTTTAATGGCTCATCAGTAAAGCTGAAATCATTCTCTGCTTCTGGATGAATTCATCAAAGCAAGCTAAATGATTTTTATATCAGATCTCTTTCTGTCTCAGCAGGATTGTGTCTATTAAGTGTAAATGATAGGTGGTTCTATTGTCATCATTCTGGCCTACATTAGCGCAGAGTAATTTGTTGTGTTCTTATAAATCTGTTGAAATCTTCTGTTTTTCTCTGTCAGCGTCCAATAGAATTGTACAATCTCTTTTATATATTTTATATAAATGTATAAAATTAAGAACTGATTTTTTTAAATATACATTTTATCCTCCCCCCCATAATCTGGTGAAACCAGGCAAAATTTCTATTTTTGCCACACAGGTGGCAAAAATCTTAAATAAATAAAGAAATAAATTGATAAATGCATAAATAATATACGATAAATAATATTACATTAATAAATAAAAGTACTCTTAATAAAGGTTTGTGGCCGGTAAAAGATTTACATTTTTTAAGTCTCTTGTGCTTACAAAGATTAATTTATTTGATTAAAATACAGTAAAAACAGTACTGTTTAAAAAACAGTAAATAAATGAAGTATTTGGAAAGTGTGATACATTTTTCATGGTTATTTGATTAATAGAACGTTGAAAAGAACAGCATTTATTTTAAATAAAAATATTTTGTAACAACGTATAATTCTTTATTGTCATTTTGATCAATTAAATGCATTCTTGCTAAATAGAAGTATGAGCCCCCTCCTCTTCACTCTGCTGACCCACGACTGCACACCGTCACACAACATGTCATGCACACACAATAAATCATATATTCTTTATGTGTTATTTTCCGATTGTATATGTTGCAAATCAAAATGCAAAAGTGAGTGTTCGTATTTACACTTATAAATACTCTGCTATTTAGGCCACAGTGACAAGTTCAAGGATAAGTTCATGCATGCCTGTTTCTGAGTGTTTTTATATAGATGATAAGCTTAAAATTGTTTTGAGGTATTTCTTGCCCGACTCACACATGGAGCACAATGAGCCATATCAAGCCATTGCAGTGAGCCAGTTTATTTTATGTTCGTTTGATCATTCTTGACCTTTCACGTGTGAAGCTCATTGAGCAATAATCTACAGCATTTTGATGCGACTGAAGCCCTTTCGGGTCTTTACAGAGTGTTTTTCTTGGCTGTAAGCTGCATTTTGAAAAGAGCCAAGAGTTGGTGTGTAATTGTGGTTTGCTGACTAAGTCTGAGATGAAGTTAGAGAAATAACTCATGACTACAAGCGGAAAATGCTGGCTCAGATAAAAAAGAAATGCAACAGAAAGTGTGGACGGGTCTTCACTTGTCTGGTTTATGGTCAAGGTTTCACTGAAATCTTGACTGATTCGTGCATAATAGTGGTATTGCTTAACTGGAATTTCTGCAGGATAAAAAGTTCAAGCAGTGAATACAAAAAAATAAATTAATTAAAAAAGGGAGAGAAAAAAATAACAACCTGCCTCCTGCTGGCCATCAGGAGAAACACAGATCTGTGAAAAATATACAATGACAAAACCGTTTTCCCAAGTGCGCTTACCCTTACTGACCTAATTTCTGCAGGATAAAAAGTTCAAGCAGTGAATACAAAAAAATAAATAAATTAAAAAAGGGAGAGAGAAAAAAATAACAACCTGCCTCCTGCTGGCCATCAGGAGAAACACAGATCTGTGAAAAATATACAATGACAAAACCGTTTTCCCAAGTGCGCTTACCCTTACTGACCTAAAATCACCAGGATTCATGTCTGATTTAAGCAGTTAGCAATGAAGCATCAGCAATTGTTAGTATCCTGCCTTAAACAGAATTTTTTTTTCTTTCGATATTGTGTATTTTCATTTACAGTGACCACGGTTCAGTGTTTCATCTAGGAATAATCAAAGGAAATGTACAGACTGTGCTTTGATGTCTTTGTCTGAATTGTTCTCACTGTTAGCTGTTGAAAGGAAACGGACGCAGTTGCTGGCTTACTGGGAACCATTTCATAATGACTAATTCCAGGCACAGCCACTTCCCATTCGTACAAAACTTCAATGACACACCAGCACACATTCAGAGAATGTCTTGAGATTTCCTGCTCTTTACGCTTGTATTGTGTTCTCTCTCTCTCTCTCTCTCTCTCTCTCTCTCTCTCTCTCTCTGTGTGACTACAGCTGATTGACACGTTCTCCAAGGAGATCTCAGAGCTAAAGCAGGAGATGGTTCAGCCAGCCAGAGAGCCGGAGACAGAGATCTTACAGGGGTGAGTCCTTCCTTCGTCACTGTCATCCTCCTCCTCACTAGCGTTAATAGGTCATATTACATTTACATTTACATTTAGTCATTTAGCACATGCTTTTATCCAATGAGGACAATATTACAATATTGCATGGTGTTGTTGTATATGTTCTCAATTGCACAGTGGGATTAGAAGGTGTGAGACAACATTGAAAATGTAATTTAAACCTGAAATAAAGTTTCAATAAAAAAAGATTAAAAATGCAAACTAAGCAATATTTTGAAAGTGTCATAGAGTTATAGCTGTATCTGGCATTAAAATGCGACAGGAGAAGTATTTTTATAATGAAAAAAAAATTATGTAGTCGTTCAGTATTCAGTATCACAGGCATCAGCTTTAAGATTCATTCTCAGTGTTTGTTATTGTACTTCCCATGTTCTCCAGCAGGTGGAGCATGTCTTATTTTTGAGCCGTAGGACATTCAATACTTTTGCAATACCGCATTTCCATGAAATTTAAAGAACGTGCGAGGAACAATAAATTCAGGTGTTTCACAATCAGCTATCAGAAGTTTGAAAACAGCTTAACCAAAACAAGCTTCAGTCTCTTCATATTTTTTCCTCATTTGATGTCCCTGCATTCACAATGAGACAATTAACAAACATTTCTAGCATTCATAAACATAACTTTTTGCGATGTATAATAAAATAGTTCTGTAATTTAGGTCTAGTAGTTTTGTTTTTAACAGTACCTACAGATCAGTGTGGGTTTGGAAAGTAGGAGGAGGTCTTACTTCCTCTCAATCTGTAAAGAGTCCCAAGTGGGCTGTGACTTGGCTAATTAAAAATATAGACCACAGTAAACAAAATAATTATAATAAATGAACAACAAACACCGATATTTGATTTAATTATTGGATAAATTAACTCATATCAGTGAATTAGCAGGTTCACATTAACAGGGTCATAAGTTCACATTAGTTTGTGTTGTTTCACTTCAGAAGTGTAACTGACAGTTACAAAATTGCGAATGTATGCATTGTATGCAGATTTATTTACTAGTGAACACTCTTTTTAAAGAAGTTAATACTTTTAATCAACAAGGATGCATTAAATTGAACAAAAACGACAGTAAAGTCATTTAAAAATGTTACAAAATATTTATTTCAACTGAACTTAAACTACCTATTCATCAAATAATCCTGAAAAAAGTATCACATTTTCACAGAAATATGAATCAGTAAAACTGAAATGTTTCTTGAGTACTAAATCAGCATATTAGAATGATTTTTATAGGATCATGTGACACAGAGGAATAGAAAAGAATAAATTAAATTTTAAAATATATTAACACAGAAAACAGTTCATTTCAATTGCAAAAATATTTCCCTATATAGCTGTTATCGGTAGTAGTTTGGGATTCTTACAGGTTGAGGGTGGTAGGTGGTCTGCAATTTTTCTTTTAATGTTAAAGTGATCTGCCACCTGAAAACATTTGACAACCACCGACTGCTTTAAACCAAGTGGGGTTTTGATCTTGTGTTGTTGTGAAATAAAGGTTTCTCTCTCTATGTATATATCTGTAGTCTGGAAGGAGAGGTCAGCGGTCTTTTCCTTCAGTCTTCTGCCTGCGTTGGTACACCTGGGGTGAGGGATTCTGGATATGACTCTCTACGCAGACGCATGAGCATCCTGGACAGACTGACGCAGACACACTCTGTATGGTTGCTACTGTCTCTCAGCGATGAGGAAGCCAGACGCATTCTGCAGCCGCAGCCGGCAGGGGTAATGACAAAAGCCACCTTGCTTCACAACAATAGGTTCTTTTGTTATTTATGTTTTATCATGGTCAGTGCATGTTATGTGTGTGTCTGTTCTGTCTAGAGTTTTGTGGTGAGGAGGTGTTATAAACTGCAGAAAAAGGTGATTTCCCTACGTATGGACAGTGACACACTGATTGTTCGGGACTTCCCAATTAAAGAGAGCCAATATAGTAAGTGATATACTACGTTTATTTCCATTAGAAGACCACTAATAGTGTGCGTATTTGTGTTATCTTTTTCACTTCCTCTTGCTTGGAGTTTTTGGTTGTTTTGTACCTGTCCATTTCCTGTCTAATTATTTGGAACAGCCATGCATCTCATCAGAGTAAAGGCTGACCTAGTAATAAACTGTCTTTGTTTGTTTGATGTTTTAGCTTAATTTATGCTTTTTGCTATTCTGTCAAAGACACATTTCATGTTACAGGGCCATAAGAGCCCTGTGGTAATAAATATGAGTATGATATATATGTAGTGTCATATACAGTACACAGCATACACTACCGTTCAAAAGTTCTGGGTCAGTAGTTTTTTTTTTTATATATATATATATATATAAAATAAGTTAATTAATATTCAGCGAGGATGCATTAAATTGATCAAAAGTGACATTTTTTATTTATAAAGTTACAAAAGAGTTCTATTTCAAATAAATTCTGTTTTTATGTGAACTTTCTATTCATCAAATAATCCTGAAAAAAAAGTCTCATGGTTTCCACAAACAGCACAACTTTTATATTATATTTCACAATATTACTCCTTTTGCTTGTATTTTGATCAAATTACAAGAAGAGGAAGAGGAACTTCCTACAACAAATGTTTGAATGGTAGTATACATATTTAATGTCTGAAAGAGAAAATATGGAAAAAATTATTTGGTTGGAAACAGAACTTTTATGAAATGTATGAATCGTTGATAAATCTATTCTTTTGTAATATGTTTGCATTTACTGATTTTTTATTTTTTATTTTTTTACACAACAGTTTACACAAAAATCTGTTCTTCTTATGTTTCATGAATGAGGCCCAGTGAAACTAGAAGTACTTGTATGGATCAAGCTCCAGTTGTGCTATGCTGTTTTTCTACTCAAATGAAATCAGTTCATCTCCATCAACACAGTTTATGCACTCTGCTTCAGTCCCATCTCTCTGTTTTTCTTTCTGTCTTTGTCACTTTCTGCCAATGCAGTAATGCAGTTAAGTGGGTCAGATCCTGTGCGACTTGTGTGAAGGATGTTTAAATGTTCAAATTTGGCTCTGTTTACTTTTCCCTTAGAGAGAGACTGTTAGGTCATTTCAGTTTTTCCAATAGCAATTCCTGTGGTGTGTAACTTACTGTGGTGTGTGTGTGTGTGTGTGTGTGTGTGTGTGTCTGTCTTTATTACAGCTTTTTCTCTGGAGGGCTCAGGGATCAGCTTTGCAGACCTCTTTCGACTGGTGGCGTTCTGCTGTATCAGCAGGTAAGATGATCCCACTCAGAAAAAACAAAAACGTCTACAAAAACAGCTTGTTTAGTTGTATTTTATATTTATAAATGGGTGGACAGTGAGTGATCTGTATGCTTTGTTGGTGTAGATATTAATCATTTATGAGAATTCTTGCTTTATCCTTAAGAAAGTCTAAACTGGTGAAGACTCATCTAGTAATGATTACACAAGCATAGATCCCAGACTCAGCGCAAAACAACAATATTAACTTGTGAATTTGAGGTGGGACTGTCTGTTTGACCAGCCAATGGAAGAGGTGGGGTGCATGGAAATTACACCCATCACATTTCAGAAAATCTCATGAAGTTCTCAGAATAGATCAAAATGTTTGTGGTAAAGTAAAACCAGATGATGCTGTTTCAGCTGCATTCCAGTGCTGAAGACCAACACGGATAATAACAGGAAGGAAGGGTCTGACTAGAGTGGTCTCTTTTTGCTTGAAAAAAACAAAAAACAGAATGTAGACAAAGCTATTCTGTCTTAACCTGTTTACATAGTTAGAGTTCACCCATATAGACTAAGTTCTGTAACGAAGAGGTTTGTGAGACGTAACAAATCCATGCAAGGTCTGTGTCAATGCCACGCAGAAAAGTCAGTGGATAAACACAGCCCTCTCTCTGCCAAACTCAACCACATGCTCTGATTAACAGCTATTTCTCTCTCTCTTTCTCTCTCTCTCTCTGAGTCTGACTCATTCTTTCTTTTCTTTTCTCCACGAGTGCACACAACAACTCTCAGCTCGGATATTCTTGCTGTTTAGTTTTTAGTATTTGTCATCACTCTAACAGTCTTTTGAAGCATTTTTGTAATGTTTTTAGCGCTTCTCAACATTCATCTGTCCACCTTAGGGACGTTCTGCCTTTCACACTGAAGCTGCCCGAGGCCATCGCAGCTGCAAAGACCCCTAAAGATCTGGAGGAGGTGGCTCACTTGGGAAGAGGTGAGTTTTCTTCCCCATGCATGAATGTTTGCTTTCCAGAGTTTTACTGAGCTTAACTGCTGACTGGTGAGTTTCAGCATTACTCACCCAGACAACATGTTTGAAGCATTTCTTTTTACAATTAAACCCCAACTCTAAAACATTAAGACAAAATGCACAGCAGAAGGGATACACATTTAAAAATTCTTGCCCATAATAATAAATTGCTAATTATTTTCATGTTGGCCAATAACCAATTAATGGCCAATATTAAAATTCTGTACTGTTTTCTTTAATGTATGTTCTTTTTGACATTTGCTCCAGATTCAATTTAACAGTTATTAGATTATTAGTGTTTTTCAAGATTAAATTTAAGTGAGTGTTAACATCAAAGGAAATCTAAATGTAATTTGAGGAAATATGAACAATTAAATATCCAATATAGGCCGATATCCATTATGATATTCGCATTTTGTGCATCCCTAATAAACGGTATTGGATTGACCGACTAAGAGAAGGTAACAAATTCAACATAACTTTACACATAGTAAGTCTTTCCATCTTTTTTATTGTTTTTAAGTCTTAAAGCCTGAGACCTACAGACTGTATGTAGACGTGCTGATGAACATGTTGGGTTTGTAGTGCGACAACATCCGGCATGTTGTGAAGAACATAAGTCAGATATGTCCTGGAGCATTGACTATACAGGTGTTACTGTGCCAGCAAACACACGACAGCATTTGACACGTGGCATTTAACAAACAGCTCATGTGGCCGACATATGAAGATGATGAGATGTTGACTAGGTGAAATTGACCACAGATGTGTTTGACGCTAGTAAATGTCTCTGTCAAATAGAGATATGCCTGTGTGCTTTGTGTCTGATTCAGACTACATGTTGTAATTTTGCACCTTACTTGACGTATGTGAGGTACAACATTCATGTACTGAGACGTATGAAATCTTAAACACAAAACTGTTGTGGTTATGTTTCTCAGCAGAGATAATGAGGTTCATTACAAAAGAAAATTATCCCTGTAGCTTTATTTAATTATATGGTGGATGGAATGGTTTGACTTGAGGTAAAAAGCTCCACATTTTATTTTAGAAAGACTTTTTTTCATAGATCATAATCTAAAACAAGTAAATGACTTGTTTAGGGACACGTTTTAATCTAAGAGTTGTTGTTGGGTTTTTTTTTTAAAGAAAAATAAGATGAAGCTTTGAAACAGGATGATCTTTTATTTTTGTGAAATTACATACTTGAAATCTCAGAGGGGAACATAGGAAGACCATGCAGTATGAATGGGATAGGTGAGACAGATAGTCAGTCTTGGCAGGTAGTGTATCTTCTCTTTTAAAGAATGCCACCTGTAATAATACGGTTAGACAGTAATGAATGCTGAAATGGCCGTGCAGAGTAAAGCTGAGAGCAGTGACGGGTGTGGTACCTCCATACTAGGAACATTTCCAAGAGAAACTCCACCAAGACAAAATTCCAGCTGTTCATTGACTGACTATAATGACTGGGACAATGGGGGTGAACTGAGGACAAGAGAAGAGTTGAGAATAACAGCAAATGTGACCGAAGCTGTAAAACAAAATGTAGCATTTTAAGTTTGTTTACAGAGAGTGAAAGAAAAAAGAGACAGAGTAGATAAAAGAATAGTACAATTGTAAACACAGGTGCAGGTTTCCAGTTGTGCCACTCCTGCACAGGTGTCACTTCGGCAGAACTGATCCGAGTGACACAAACACTTCCCGCTCTTATCTCAGATGGCATCAGTTAAGAGATGGCTGAGACTTATCCAGAAACAAAACAAAAACAAAAAGTTTTATAGTGATCAGATTTCCTGTCACACCTACAGTATATTTCTGTTTTAGCTTTCTTGACAATTTTGGTATTGCAGCACTTTATATGTCACTGTCACCTTAAATCGCTTGAGTTAAATATTGCGCTTCAGATTAATGAGTCTGATAAATAAACAAATGTGAATATTTTCCTTGTCTTTACAAACGTAACATGTCTGTAGAAAAAAGGGCATGTTCGTTTTCCTCATGACCATAGATGTCACTAAATCCCATCTCAGCACATTTATTGAATGGTTATGATTTTTATTTCAATATTTAATCAGACCATCAACATTTGTGTGATTTATTCCAGTCAATTATTATTATTATTCATGTGCCACTGGGACACTGGGCCAGTAATTACATTTTTTGACAATTTCATCTGCTGTTATGACACCAGTTTTGTTCTGAACTTAATTGGCAATTATTTCACGTTACCTTAAAAATATATTAAATTATGCATCAATCTGTACATGCTAAACGTTATTCCAAAAATGCTACAGTTTATTAGTAAAATTAGTTCACACATTATTCTTAAGGGGCACAGCTTCCCTTGTTGTTTATTGATTTGTATATCTTTTATATTTGATATCTATAGTTATAGTGTTGATTCCCAAAAACTGGAACATGATCAAAGTAAAAAGTATTCATTTTCTGAAAATGCAAGATCACATAACAAAGAAAAGTCAATCTCTTGTATTGCATCATATGAACACATTTGAAGGGGTGGCGTTTAGTATGAACGAGTGCGCTGTAAGAGAGGAGGAACAGCGAGCTGCAGTGCCTGTCCTCTTCCCACCTCCTCATCAGCATGCATGACTCACACCATTCACTGTGTGGGTATCAGCACTACTCTACCACTCACAACTCAGACAGCAGAGTCGCTGCATGAAGTGGAGATGTGTAAACTTTTGTGCTCAAACTATTTACAAGCAGTCTGAAGAGAAGGCTTGAGGATTAGTAGCGTAAGTTTAATTCTCCTGTTCTTGTCTTATTTGTTTCAGGATTTTTTTGCTCACTTCAATGTTTTTTCCCTTAGTTTCTGTCATGGAATTTTGTGGTTTTGTGTTTGCGCACACTATATTATGGTAGTGTGTTCAGTATGCCAGTGCTTGAACTTGTAGGATAAGCCTTTCAGAAGCATTACCTAGAGTGTCTGCTGATATTCTTCAGCTTTTCTGTCAATCACTTGAAATTGTAGCTTGATATCTGGAATTCTTTGAAATGACTTCCTCTTTTATTTGTTTGTTCTGTAATACTCTTCTGTGATTGTGTGAAAAGTATGATTCAGCTGTCTTATAGTTAAGTTATAGTTAGTTCTTAGTTGAGCAGAATTTCAGTATCTTGATTTTTTTTTAATCAAAATTTAATGTTTTTTTTAATTGTGTTGTCTTCATGCAGGTTTCTGGGACTCTGAACTGTGCAATAAGAGGAAGTCTTCTGTGTCTGGGGAGACTGTGTGTGAAATTTCACAACAGAGACTGAAACAGTGGTTATCCCCAAGCATTCCGGCCATCCCATTCACACGGACCCCTTCTGAACTTGAATGCAGTCAATCCAACAGAGCGCTGTGCTTCATCAATCCCCTCTTCCTGCAGACACACCAAACTAACCCTTCACCTAAAAAGCAAGAATCATCCCCGGGCAACGCAGATCGCCAGATCAGGGAAGACAGCATCTTTTGCCGTGCAAAAAGCACGCAAAACAAATCACACGCAAGTGTGAGTAGATCCAAGAGCGAGAGATCCCCGCCACCTCGGCCCCCACCTCCCCACTTTGCCTCCGGCAGATCAGCAGTTCTTCGTAAACAGAAGACCATGCCTGAGACGGTCTGTTGGATCAAAACGCCTCAGGGAAAGAGCAGCCTTCTGGGGAGGTTGGGATCATCCTTCAGTTCCTTATCACCCTCATCCTCCCCACCCAAAAAGTTCAGTAAACCCATCCTGGTGCCCTCACCCCGCAGTAAGAATTCCTCCGGTCTGCTCGATGCAGACGGCCTCCGCTGCCACATGGCCCTGGATGACCAGACCATTGAGGAAGCCGTGTCTTGGAGCTTGGCCAAGCTGTCCTCACGCAACTCTACCGCCCTGGAGAACGGCAGCCCTGCAGATGAACGCTGCTCCACCGGACGAGAGCGTCTGAGCGATATCAGCATCTCCACCTCATCCTCAGACTCTCTCGACTTCACCCACGGCTTCCCGCTGCCCATGGAGGCCAGTCCCTCCAGAACCGAGAGGCCCACTGGTGACAGCAGCCTGGAGGAGGAGGAAGAGGAAGAAGATGATGGCATCAACTTGGAGAGCGACCAGGAGGTGCCACCACCCTTTAAGTCAAAGAAGCAGAATGGCGCTGGTACGTTCGTGCTGCCGCGTGCACTGAGAGGACAATTGCGCAAGATGAGCAGCGTTCTCAATTCTTTGATGACGCCCGAGAAGAGAGCCATTCGGAAGATTGTCGAGCAATCCAGGGATAAAGGGACTTACTTTGGCTGCCTGGTGCAGGACTACGTGAGCTTCTTGCAGGAGAACCGCGGCTGCCACACATCAGGCTTGGACCTGCTGCAGACTCTCAGGCAGTTCATGACTCAGATGAAGTCCTACCTGCTGCAGAGCTCAGAGCTTGACCCGCCAATTGAGTCACTTATCCCGGAGGATCAAATAGGTAAGGCTTCCTTCCTTCAGTAAAACTTTTCCGTGCTAGGAAAGGGAAATTGAATTGTTGCTCTGGCGCCAATAATTATACAAAGGAAGTAGGGTTATGCAACATGTATTTTCTATGATAATAAGTGTTATAATAGGTGTTTTAATGATGTGCAAGCTTACATTATCAAGTATGTCATGTTTAGGGCATCAGCTATATACGTACTAGACTGTAGCTGCAAACTGTCCATCTAAGTTGTTTTAACGAAAGGCAGCTAATGAAATACCTAGCTGAATCAAGTTCCAGTGAGCAGTGAGCACTGATGTGATTTTTTTCTTGCCGCATGAGCACATTATGTAATTCTTGCAGTGATACCTTTGGCCCTGTCCCAAATGCCACCATAAGCCCTTGCGGCTTTCTTCCGAGTCCACACTTTGTGTTGTAATCCTTCATATATTATAGAATAGTATTCTGTTGTGGAGCCAGCAAAAGTGTGCGTTGAAGCTGCAAAGGGGGAGCTTTGTGTTCTCAAAAGGCTCTTGTTCAGAGCTCCTAACCTGATGCAGCTGCCTATGTGTACTGGCAGGTTTTGTTATGTTCGTGTTGTGTTTAAACAAGCCCAGCACAATAAGGGCTGTAGCTATGAGATTATGCCTCCATAGAGAGAAATCCTATTCTGCGACTTTAAAAAAAACAAGCTTAAATGCACAGATAATGACCTTTGACATTAATGTCACCCTCTATTTTTAAATAGAGATAAGTCAGTGTTCCAGCTCTCTTCACTCATTTTTGAGTCATAACAGGATTAAGACACTCTGTTTTATCGAGATGTGTCTGGAAAGACTTAATGTTGCTCATTCAGGCCAAGGCTCTATTCTGAGTACTTCCTTAAAAACACGTCTGAAAGTAGAGATTCATTTTGAAGTTATCATTCGTTTTGCTGAAAGACTTCATTTACTTGGAGGGGTCAATAGACTATGAGGGGGATTTTATTTGCTCTGTTTGTCTGGTTTAGTTTGTGTGTGCCTTTTGTTCTGTGCTGTGACGTACTTTATGGCCTTGTCTCCTAACTCATCGAGCACTGGTATGTACTTCTTTTGTGGGTAGCATCAGTGGATTCACTTCTCCTGTCATTGCGGCTTCATTTTCCAGTCTGCAGTGCAGACACGGAGCATGAGAGACAGAAAGAGCACTATGTAGGAGTGACGCTGAGGAGGACAGGAGATTGTTTTGAAGGGGATGTTAACAAGCCTTGGAAGATAGCCTTTCAAGTAGAGATGGCCTTGACGGATGAGTGTTTCTAATTTGAGCCACATTTCCTGTTGTCCTGATATCCAATGACATCCTTATTAAGGGCCAAAATTACTAAATAATAAAAATTAAAAAGACAGTATACATTAAAATGTTTTAAAAATATAATAAATTACATTACACTATTATGCTATTTAAGTAAATTGTGCTGTGCAGCAAACATTTATTTCATCACCTCTGTTCTATGTAAATAAAGTTAAAAATTAAAAAAAAAAGTTAGGTTTAAAAGTCTGTCTGGCACAACTCACGTTATATTATAGCGTTAAAGTAGGCAATAAATGCAATTTTATTTAAAAGATGTTTGATTTTTCTGATTGTAAATGTCACTACTTGTTTTTAAAATGGAGTAGAGGCATATATACAGACACAGTGTAGTCTAGAGCATTAAATATAATATTAATATTACATTTTACAAATTAAATCTAATCAAATATTATATTATATTACAGAACTAACATCTGTACCCTTCCCAATTCCTTCTCTTCCACTGCATCTGCGGTTCTTCCACAGAATAAAGCAAACCGGTTCAGTTCCTCTAAATCTTTGGCTCTGTGCCGCCCTTCATTAGCAGAGCTCTCTGCATCACTCACAAAAGTGAGAGGAGCCTTGCTTATTTACCGAGCTGTCTGCTCTCTCTTGGGACTGACAACCATGTAAACACATTTTGCAACTCAGCTGAATCTGTTAAAGTGATGTCAGACTCAGAGCTAAAGTCAGACCTCTAGAAAACCCTGATGTAAGGCACAATGACTATGACTGGCTGTGTATTAGTTATGCTTCTGATGGATGATTTCTTGTGAATGGAGGGGGAGTTGCTGTAGCCTTGACCGGTTAAAGCTGCTATTGTTGTGTACACTAGTTGATAACATTTGGCCCCATTGTGAGGACTGCCAACAAGCAGCCTGTGTGTGTTTTTACTCTTTACTTTGAGATGATTTGGATCTCAAAAACAGGTTTAGTTTACTTAATTTCTTAAAACAGGTTTGCCAAGCTGTTATGGTCACAAGCAGTTGAGTCATCCTCCTGACACACCTGATTAAGACAATTATGATAAATGTGTAGACTGTCATGTTGATTCGAAATCATCTAGCATTTTGTGGATATCATGCAGTGTTTTCGAAGGAAACAAATCGTTATGCTATTTATATTAGCTTAAAAACATATACATTGTGATTTGCTATTATATATTTAAAAAAGTATAAAGTGCTGCCAAAGCATGTGTGTGTGTTGTCAGAGCACTTATTATGATGGTGTTGCTTTCCTCAGTGGTCCAGTGTGTTGACAGAAGCAGTGTTGTCAGCAGTTTCCAAAGCCCGATTAAACATTACATTCTGCTCTTCAGATCAGATGATTTTAGTTACGCATACACTTCTTCTAGTTTAGATGATTTTACAGTTTAGGTATCATTTCAAGCCCTGCTTGCACAATCAAAGTTACAAGACAAAACCTGTTGCATTGAGTCATATGTGAGCATACCAGAGACTCACAGATGTGCTGTCAGGAGACATTTTGTAAATGTTGAAGAGTTTTGGAAAAGCAGGTGTAAAAATACTATGAGCAGGTATTCCCCTTTAAAGCAGGAAATGGAACAAACCACGTCGTAGATCCCAGTCAATATACTCATGGTCACAGTCCTTTCATCCACAAATAGACTTGCCCACAGACATTCTGTTCACTTTTTTAAGGGATTGTACGTTCCAAGTTTTTGTTTTTCTGTTCCTCTGCCTTCTATAGTTACGATTTCTGTTTTCAGAGTTCACCAAAACAAATTCCAAAACATATGTGGTGTAATTTGGATGTATTTTTTTTTTAAATCAAACTGGATAACATGATCATCAAGTTTATATAAATGAGTATGATTTCTGGTTCCTTTCTAAAGAAAATACATTTATAGAAAGAGTCCATTTAATTGGAAATACTTTTAAAAATCTATTGTCAAAATATTTATATTTATAATAAATTATATAATTTATATAATAGTATTTTTATTTAAAATACTTTTAGAGCAAGAATTCGAATGATTTCTGAAGGATTATGTGACGCTGAAGACTGGAATAGTGGCTGCTGAGAATTCAGCATTGCCATCACAGAAATAAATTGCTTTTTAAAATATATTAAATTACAACTGTGATGTTTCCCAATATTGCTATATTGCTATAACAAATAAATGCAGCCTTAGACAACTGAACCATTAAATGATAATTTCTATTTTAACAATATTTACAAAAATTTTAGGAGCACCTTCTAAACAATTATCCAAAATGTTATCAAAAAGAAGACTTCCCATTACAAGGTGATATTTGACTCCTCTAACTTTATTAAAAGTATGTCATCTTTTGTCAAATTCTTTAAAAAATTATATTTTATAAGCTTTTTAAAAATTGTAATTAAAACGACAGAATAAGAACAAGTAGAATAAGAAATATAAGTTACCAATCAAATTAAATCAGTATTAACAAAATTAATTTGTAGAGGTGGCACAGAAGAACACAAAAGTGGCTTGGTGTACTTTCAGACATTTAATGAGGCTCAGAATTGGAATGAGTGCAATTAAATCCATAAATTCATGATGATATTAATGTTTTCAATATAAAATTTTGAATATAGAAATATTAAACTATTTAAATAACTGAAAAGATACTTTTAAAATTAAACAAACTGCCAGCAGGTGGCGGTAAGTCACTGATTTTTATCACTGAATCATTCATTCAATTGATTAATTCGAACGGCTGATTCATTCAGGAATGAA